CTATTTGCCGGCTTGATAACGCACCTTAAGCCAGGAAATAGTAATGCAACTAAAGACAAAAGGCCGACGTTCCCGCAATTGAGAACGGGAATTCACATCTAAACCATCTATATTGTGAGTAACCGCTCGCAGGGGCGCACTATTGTTCCTATCTCCCATTGAGAGTGTTATCGGCAATGATATCCTGATCGTATCATTGTCTTGAATCAACTGACGCATTACCTTCATGTTTGAGCTGGACAACGCGGCCATATTTGGTGACGAACTTTTCAAAAATTATCGATTACCTCATTTTTAAGGTCGACGAAGTTTTCAAAGGGAAAAAAATTACGTCGGCGGAAAATCTTCTGCCGACGAAATTTCCAAGACTTTACCGTACTCAAAACTTAATAAATAAGTCAACTTTTAGAGAATTGTTATTTGGAGATATTTGGGAAAACATGAAGTTATGTTCCTGTGTCTAACCTCAAATGCATTAATTACAGGTCAAACGATGGGTGGTCTAGCTCTGACAGGAGCAGGGAAATTGAAATGCAAGTACATAATTCACTTTGATGCTCAGATGTACTTCTATGGTAAATGGAAGGAGGCTGTCATCAAGTGCTTAGAAATGGCAGAGTCTCTAGGTGTAAAGTCTGTGGCTTTCCCTGCACTTGGAACAGGTAATAGAAGCATTTGCTTTTAACTAACACTAGAGCTAAGTCTATCCTCTGTATATGTTATGAGTGCATCTGAGACGATCCATCCATCTTTAAGGAACTCTCCTTTTCTTAGAACCCCTCCTCCAGTCATATTCGTATTTAGAATATTCTGGAAAGATTCTTTCATTTCCTAATTGACACCTTGATTGGCTGTCATTTAGAACTAAGCTTATTAAACTAAGAAGTAGTACAAATATAGAGTAGCCTGCGTTTTAGTTTTGGGTGTTCTAATTTCAAGAAATTTTGACTTAAAAATACAGTATCTATCTATATATTCACAATTTTTCCTCATTGAAAAGATTGAGTAATTACAGTATATTTTTATCATATATTGTAGGTGCACTTGGATATAATAATAACCCAGAGTCAATTGCGTCAGACATGTTGGAAGGTATTGCTGACTTCTACATTAATGTTAATCCAATTAATGTCATGCTGGTAAGGATTACTTTGTTTCAACCACATCTGCTACCTATATTTCAAAAGGTTATGAAGAACAAGCATGGAACACCATTAAAAGACAACAGAGGTATTTTCAAGAAAATGTGGGGTAAGTTTGATATAATGTTGTTTATATTATACAATGTGTTTTACAAGGCAGTATTGTCACATTAATTTGATCAGAAAGTGCATGTAAATGAAGGAGATCTGAAAATATTTTTAAAATATCTTTTCACATGTGATGTCAAAAAAAATTTAATATATTTGTCATCATACTATGAACCATTTTCATTCATTGTAACACTTTCGATATTCTTTCTGTCTTGAAGATACCGTTCGAAGGCATTCATGGAAAGGGAGTGAAGTTTTGGAAAGGGAGAAAAAAGTGTTGGTTCTTGACATTTATGCAAAGGACAAGAAATCTTCTGATGCTGCAGTGCAGGGTATAGAGGACATAGTGAGAGATGAAATGGAGGACAGAATGATAACAGATGATGAAATAGCAAGGTTCTCACCAGAACAGGTATGTTTTAAAACAGTTTCTCTAGATCTGTGGCGGAATTAGGGGGGTGTCAGGGGGATCCTGACACCACAACCACCACCACCCCCTTCGATTTCTGAGAAAAATCACACCAATGATCCTCTCTTAAAGTTAGAGTTTTAACCAGCTAAATCATAGTTATAACCCTACCAAATGGCATGATTCATTCGCCCTCCAAAATACCAAAAATTTTCAGGGCCCTTTTAGCTAATTCACATCCGCAATCCCCAGACACTTCAGCATCAACAGCTTTTGTTGATGCTAAAATGATTGAAATGAAACTACTTAAAAGTGTGCATGTGTGAGAGAAAGAGGAGGAGGGGGAGGTAAAATGGGGAATATGAATAATAAAAATATGTGCACAAAAATACATGTACTTTCCATATTGCCATAGGTGGATAGACTGAGGGATCTGGAAAAGAAACTAGATGTCCAGATGAACATAGAGATTCTAGGTGTCAATAGAGTCAACCGCATTCGTATACAGGGTCACAAACAAGATGTGGCCAAAGTAGTGGAAGAGTATCATAAAATCCTGAGAGAGTTGAAGGACCATGACTTGAAAATTGCAGAAGCTGAGGCATGTGCCAAGGAAGTTATGTGGTAATTGTTCTTTAATTTGTGTTTTTTCCCATATTTGATAATTAACTCTAAGTAGATTGTTATGCCTTTGAAATAGTAACTTTTTATATTTTCCATTTTATATTCTTTGTGTTTAAAAAAACGTATTTTGAATGGAATTATTTCTGTTGTACTCAAGCAAACAAACTTTAAGAATCAAATTTCCTTTATTAAGACTTAAAAGATTATTCTCACCATTTAATAATTTGTTTTTGACAAAGGATGTATATTGATGGTGGAAAAAATTATCAGTATGACATGATGCTGAATGCTGATATTGAGAAGGCATATCAAGCCAACAAAAGAGGGAGATACAAGTACAAGAATGAAGACGGACAAACTTTAGAAATCAACTTTGTTAAGATGGAAGAAATCATGTCTGGAGATACAACTAGTGGCATTAAAGTTCTGCGAAAGAATTTGAAAGGTATTTTAAAACTGTTATCATGTATTTATGGTATTTTTTCTTTTCTAAGAAAAGATGTCAGAATGAAATTTATGTTTCTCCTTCACTTTTTATTATGTACAGACGCAGTCTGTACATATAGCCGTCACCTGCGTCTGTCGTTGCCGTCGCTGTCGCCGTGCACTCAGCAATAACACGATAAGTGGAATACTGTTTTACTTTTTCTATTCAAACTTACAGAACTGATGAATATTCATAATATGCAGGTCAAGTTCGAAAATTAGCATGATCAGGCCATTTTTAGGGAAGTTATGCTGTTTTTTTTTCACTTTTTTCAGCATTTTTGCAACACCGATAACACAATAAGTGAAAAACCACTTTACCTTTTGGCTTTAAACTTACAGCTAGCTAGAACTGATGAATATTCATAATATGCAGGTCAAGTTCGAAAATCATCATGATCGGGCCATTTATATGGAAGTTATGCTGTTTTTTCACTTTTTTCTGCATAAATACAACCCTGATAACACAATATAAGAAAAACAGATAGGCCAATTGTCATTATACTTACAGGAGTGGTCAATCTTTCTAAAACACAGTTGAGTTCGAAAATCAGCATAATCGGGCCATTATTTTAGAAGTTTCTTTCACATTTCCTCAAATTCAGTTCTTAGGCATGTTAACAGTGTCATTATTTAACTAATAAATTAAGACATGTAAAAGTTTTTGTTTGACATTTCCTGCATCTTTACAACATTGTTAGTTGTTATGTAAAAATTATGGTAAACTTGTTATAGTGTATTGTGTAATAAAGTGTCAAAAATGGAAATAAACTCATATCATTGCAGTTTGTCAGATTCAATCATTCACTATGTTCAGAATCTCAGAATGGAGGAAATTGGACATTTAACACTGTTCTATTGATATTTTTCCAATCTCATCAATTTTCT